AAAGTAGGCCAAGAGATCCTAGAGATGAACAGACTCTCCACTGTAATTATCAAACTTGTACAACGCCCCACAATGTGTGGGGTGGGGAGGTAGGGGGCCAGTGGGGGAAAATAAATTAAATCCACTTACACAGTGAAAATTCCAATAATAACAAAAAAAAGTAATACATTACTTTACACCTTTTAACGAGTTTCCACACAACTGTGCTGCTTGAAATGATGCTCAAAATATCACAAAATTACCAACACTTCGACATTTAACATTGTTGGCATGCCTGTGTGGGGTTAATCTCTTCAAATTTGGTTGTTATAATTACTGGTCCTTGGACAACTATCTTAGAAGAGAAGCGTGCTCATTCCTCCCATGTCACTCTGTTCTTTAACGAAGATTTCAAAGTATTGATAGATGATTGTGACGGCCAAAAGAATACCTGAAATACAACATGGAATTTCAATTATTTCTGAATATAAAAATTGCTTTTTTCAAACTACAAATGCAGCATTTGGATTTTAAAATAATAATAATAACAATATTAATAATATTAACAATAAAAAATAAAAAAACTACTGGATATCAAACACTTCATAACATTCACTTCTTTCCATTTTCATTAAATTCCTCGACTCACCTGTGCCAGAGCCAATAGCTCCCAGGAAATCTGCCAACACAGACAGAGCACCAATGCAGAGACCACCGAATGCAGCAGCGGTAGGAATGTAACGGTTAAGTTCGTGGATCATGGACTTCTCACGGTGGCCACGCATGACCATCTGCTGCTCCTTCAGCTGCTTGGCAACCTTTGTTCAAAGATAAATTTACATAAGTATAAAGTTCCTTTTACAGCTTATCAAATCAAAATACATGAGGAGATATCAAACCATTACAGAGAATGAATAGTCTGCAAAACAGAGGGCAAGGCTACCAAATTTGCTCATCCATTATTCAAAATACTATATTTTTTTATAGATTCCATTTTATCTATTGTAACAATATATACATTTATGATATGCATAGACAAAAAATCAAGGGGTAAAATAAAAACAAAATACTTGAAAGTGCGGTTTAACTGGCCTTATCTTCCTCTAAAACCCAACTTGTGTCTGAGTGCCCAACCAGATGTAGTGTTTCAACTACGAAAAGCACCGCCGTAATAGACCGTACATGCCTCTCGCTTGAATAACACCACAAATAGTACTTCCTGTTTGAGCAACATGGAGTTCAAGGACTCGTTCTGTTTCACCATAGTTTTGGATTTCATAAAACATATTTTTTTAAAGTAAGAAGCACAGAAACCTATTTACCAATTCAAAATTATCAACACTAGTTTGACAGGCCATCGACATGAATGTAGAGCCTCAGTTTCAAATTAGCCATTTCTTGTTTGTTTTTGGTAATAAAATGAATTTTATGATAATTAACTCTTAAATTTTTTATATAAAATCTCTACTATAACTTTTGATGACTTTATAGATATTGATAATTTCTTTAAGGGAATTACAGACAATAGATTTTAATTGCACCCTGGAAAAACACATTCGTGTCATCGCTGGCCTCCCTCAACACCCAAGATTTAGCACCAAAGTGACTGATTTGGCCCAAATAGCCATGCTTATGGCCAGACCTGCAAATACACAAGACCAGTTGAACCGCACCTTAAGGAAGAGCTAGAACTTACGTCCTTGGCAGATGAGCCAGACACATCAATCCAGGTCTTGGAGAAGAAGGCACAGGAGCCCAACATGAAGGCAATGTAAATGATGGCATGGAAAGGATCTTCCAGAATGTGGCCAAAGGACTCTGGTGGCGACATGTAGTAACAAAGGCCACCAATTGGGTAAGAAGTGCGTCCTGGGCCTCCTGATCCAACGTCAGACCATGTTCCCAAAAGGCCGACAAAGAAGTTGCCCGGAAATTTGTTTGCCAACATCTGTAGAGCAGGAAGTTGAAGAGGTTTTAGAAAATAAATGATTGTTTTATTTGCATGACAGTACATTATATATGAATACAGACAGATACTATGAATGATATTCATGTTGACAAATGTAGAAAAGGTATGAGAATTAATATATACAAAATACATCAAATGTATTTTACCGAAATACATCAGACGAAAATGCATTGGAAATCAGTCAAATATATCTCTTATTGTGAAGATGTTCATTCTCATTCATACCTTTTCTAGATACTAGCTACACTTTCAGTTCACACTTACCTGAGCAATGATGTAAAGATTGGAGACGAGAGCAGACTGGAGGATGATGGGAATGTTTGAAGTGTAGAACAGCTTGATGGGGTAAGAGGAATACTGGCCACGGTAACGTGCAGACTTGATGGGAAGGTCTACGCGGAAGCCCTGTGGGAAAATGGTATTGTTAACTTCACTCTGAGGATTATACTCTGATGTGAAATTTTAAATGAAGCTTGAGTCCATAAATTCTACATTTTAAAAAGTATATCAATTATTTAACCTTCTATACATCTTCCTTTAATTATTCTAATTTGAAACTCTTCCCAAGGTTGATAATGTCAATATGACATCATGTTCTTTCATTCCATGAAATTTTAAAATAATGGTGACAGTCTTCTGATACTCCACACTGATACTGAAGTCACATTAATTAAATAGTCTTCCTTAACCATGTACTGAGGGAGGTAAGAGAACATTCTGCAGTTTCACAGGAAAAATCACGAAGATATGTGGGCCAGTAACCTTGGTTACTTTTTCTTTGGGGGGATGGGAGATTAAAATGTTAATTTATCTTTTCAATTGATAGATTACCATACCTGGAAGTATATCACAATTGCAAAGATGAGAACAGTAGCCAGAAGATTAGTCAAGTTGGGGAGGTTCTGGCGGTAGAAAGCCTCACGGAGAGCTCGAACCTGTTGGAAATCAAACATTTTATAACTTGGGCCTTCAATATTTCATAATCAACTAAAAATTATTTCAAGATTTCATAATATAAAGCAAGCAACAGTGCATGATAGCATACCTTGTCTTGCCTAGTGGCCAGCAAGTGGAAAAGAGCAATGATTGCACCCTCAAATTCTGTGCCACGTCCAGTGTTGACTGTGGCAGGGGAGAAGGCCTTCCAGACAATGGTCTCACAAATGTTTGTGGCAATGAAGAGGGAGATACCAGAACCAAGACCATAACCCTGAAAGGTTAAAATAACCATTTAGAATCCAATAAAAAGAAATCAATATTCATAAATTCAGTAATAATTCATATTACATATCTTAATACGTCTCTTTAATCCACAATGTTAAAATCTACATCATGAAAGAGTCACCCACCTTCTGCAGCAGTTCATCCAGCAGCAACACAATGAGACCAGCAACAAACAGCTGGATGATAATGAGGAGGCAGACACCAGCACCAAGGTCTGAGGGATCACCATACATGCCAGTCATTACATAAAGAATTGCCTGGCCGACAGTGATCATCATTCCAAAGAGCTTCTGTGCTCCATTGAACAAAGCTCTGTCCTTGGGGGTGTCCCCAACCTATAAAAGAAAAGGCAGAATTAGGATTCCCTATGCATTTGTCATCATCCTAGGCATGATCAGCATTATGATTCTTCAAATTGCTTCCCTTCAGGAAATCAATACACAAATGTTTAAGACTTAACAAATCAGTCAAAGTACTCACCTCAATGAGCTTCGCACCAGCCAGGAGCTGCATGATAAGACTGGATGTGACAATTGGCGAGATACCCAACTCCATGAGTGTACCCCTGTTACTGGCTAAGATCACACGGATCCAGTAGAAAGGATCAGCCGAGTCCGAGCTCATGATACCAAACAAAGGAATCTGGAATCAAAATGGACACGTTAATCTTCATCAATGCAGGAAAAATTTAAGAATTCTGTATCAGTAATAAGCATGTTGTAGCATTTACTAAAATATACTACACATCTATTTCTCAATATTTAATATGAAAATACCTAATTAGTGATTATAAAGAGCCTAGAATACAAAAACAAGACTTAAATCTGCCTTAACTATGTTAATAAACCTAAGCTAGTTACAGCTCATGAAGTCAAACTTCCCTTAAAAATAAAGCCACAAATATTTACAGTCAAAGACTTGATATAGTTAGCAGTAAACAAGTTGTCAAGTAAGTTCAACTTCTAAATGCTAGATGCTACAGCCATCAGAGATCCAGCCCTGAGAATCACCAGGTTACAAATAATTGATACAATTGACCCAAATTCCACCAATCCTTCATAAGCATTCCTGTATCTGCCAATCCTGTGTGGCAAAGGCCAATTATTTACAAATTCCTTATAATTGCTTTCATACTGTCAGACTTTCCTTTTAAATCATGTAGGTGACAATAGTGCATGAAATGTAAGATGATATTTGAAAAATCTATTTACAAAAGGCATCTTTTCCGGTGGCAATTAGGGTGTCACAAGACATGCTACGACACCAAATGCTGTCTCGTGATCGGAGGCGAGACAGGACTCCAAGTCCACCCATTTCTGTGACGTAATGGGAATGATCACGGTTGACGGTTTGCTATTTTACTGTACTGGTTATTTTTCCAACAGATAAACAGTATTTTGGAATATGATATCCAAGATGGCTTTTGATATCTTATGGTGGGTAGTGCGGTGTTATAGATATCCAATAGAAGTACGAATATGCATGAAATATCCGAAGTAGGAGGAATGCATTTGGCAACTCGATTAAAGTTAACCATCTGCTTGATTCCTGTCGCGCAAGAGGTGTCGCGTTTCCTGTAACCACTGGAAAAGATGCCTAAAAAGGGCAAGCCATGGAAAGCACAGAAGCAATATTATCATATCATAGCTTTGTATTCCATTTATTTATGTGTATGCATCTATAGGACATGCCAAAACTAGAAACTTTAAAGATCTGTATGAACAGTCACAGGCACAAATTTCTTTCAAGGTAGCTATTTGAAGGAGAAAGCCTTTGAACATGTGTAGTTGCTATGTTCCTGATCTACTGATAACAAAAAGAAGCTAGGATATGGGATCACACACACAAGATAACTCTCCAGATCTATTTTTGATGCTTTCAAGATAAAAATTTCCAGAATAAACTATCTACAGTATGAAACTCCCAAAAACTATGATTCACATGAGAAGTCAACGTCTTTCCATACCGCATCAAATATAAACCAACAAGACTTGGCAATGATCAATATTTTATGGATAGCTTATATTGCTGAACAACCCGCAATATGACTTCACCCGTACTCTCAATGAGAGCTACATCAGTATCAGCATTCTACAGAATATCCTTTATAACACCATCAATGATATTGTAAAACTAGATACAGCAAGGCAGCACTAGATTTAGGATAAAAAGGGGCAGGGTAAATTTTAAGGACAAATGCACATCCATCAATGGGTAACACTCCACACACATTCTATAGACAGAACTTGCAGACCCTCCAATTGATTTCTATAAAATGAGGAACAAACTATTTTGCCTGAATATACACAGCGGAGCTGTATTAGCTTATACCAGAGCACAGAGGCCACACAGATGGCTCTACAAGTGCTCAGGCACCAAGGAGTCATTTAGTAAGACCTACATGACCTCATATGAGCCCTGAATTCTCTGGAAAGTGTTTTGTTTATCAGTTTTAACAAAATTTATTGTTACTGACATTATAAACATCATAATGCTAAAACAAATAGCTATAGAAAATAAAGAATCTATCCTAAAATCAAGGAAAATATTAAACTGGTGATATTGACTGCTTAGTGACAGTTCTGGTGGGCCTATTTACACAAACAAACCTAAACTAAAACCACAGTGGACATGGTGTGTATGTAAACACTAACAGCTTCAACAGGTTGATGTACTACTATCATATTTGAAGTTCACATTGTAAGCTATAAAGTGCTTATCACAGCAAATTAAAAACATTTTGTTCGAGCACAGGACTACATTTATCAGAAAATAATCATTTTAAAAGACAGCATATGTGCTCTCAACATTTACCAAAAAACTATCATTCATGATACATATAATGCCATATGTACTTTATGAACCTTAACAGAGGTATTTCATATTCAATCATAATATCAGAACCATTTCATAAAAACTGCAAACTGCAGTTGGTATTCGGTTTCTGCACATCATATGGTCATCTTCCCAAATATTACATATATAGAAAAACAAAAATATAAGCAATAAAATATGTATGTTCATTTCAAAAAATTAAAAAGAACTCACCTGGCAACAGACAAGGAAGATAAAGAGAGTGATGGCAGTCCATAGTACTTTCTCCCTGAACTGGACCTTCCGCTCAGGCTTCTGAATCTCCGGGAGGACCGCGCAGAACGGTTTTATCACCTCAAGGAACTTGACTGAAAGAGAGGAGGGAAAATGGAAGTTCGTTAGTTACTGTTGTTGCTCTTTGGGATAGGGAAGGGAGGAGAGGGGAAGGGGAGGAATGGCAGAAGAGAAAAGGAGGTGGAGAAAGTATGATGATTACAAATGTGGAGAAAAGGAGATAAATTGGAGTAGGAGGAGAAAAAGGAGGCAGCAGCAGAGCATGAAGTAAAGGAGGTGAGAAGAGGAGAGCATGAGTAGGAGGGGGAGGGGAGAGTATAATAAGGTAGAATAGGAGAGAAAAAAAAATTGAGGTAGCATTAGGAGCGAAGAGACCGGAAAGGAGAGAAAAAAGAATGAGAAGAGAAGAAAATAGATTGTGGTGCAGAGAAGGGAGGAAAAATAGGAAAGAGTCAAGGCAGATGGAATGGAGAAGAGGTGATTAGAAAGGTCATGAGGAAAATAGGCCACTAAATATGGAACAAAGGGAAAGAAGAAAAGTGAAAGTGAATCCTGAGCATTAGGATTCAGCAGAGAAGGCAAATAAAGAAAGGGAGAAAACAAAAGGGAAACAAAAGAAAAAAACAAAATGAATGTTCAAGATATAAATATACCATAATCATACATGTTCTACTTTCAATGAGATATCAATATTGGAAATGCCATAAACCACACCCTTTGTAGACCTGCAGATAAGGTAATAAAGTGGATTTGGAACGTTGAAACTAAAGAGAAAGTGGGAATTCCCGAGAACAGACGGTACACACTGCACTGCTGTTGTGCTAGGTATGGAATATGTTTCGGTTAAATACGGCTTTTCTGTGGCTTAAACATTAGATTTCAATACCCCCGCTTTTACATATTCGTCTATAGACACCAGAGAGGATGTAAAGGTTATGGAATATGTGAATTTTGTAAAGAAAGGAGTGAGAATTGATCTACGAGATTTTGGCTCTACAGAGCATTATATCGGCCTTGTGCCCAGTTTTAAGCAATATTTCGTATTCGTTAGCACTCAGTGAATAGAAATGATGCGATTTCGGCTCATTTCCGACTAAATTGTCAGCGTTCGGCGAACAAATATTCAAAGTAGGTGTCAGCCGACTTCATTCTAGAAAAACAAGCCAGGCTTATGGCCAAAATCACGAAACTATGGGCTTTGCGCGAGTTTGAGATGCACATAAATACAAGTTAAAGGCTAATTCCACAAAATGCCATTGATAAACTTACTCCCCATGGTGGCTGATGTTGATGGACGAAGGGCCAAACAGGATATAACGTCCACCAGTGATGCTGTCTAGCTTGACACTGAACGCGACGTGTCAGAGCTTCACTAACCTGCCGCGAGAGGGCCGCAGTGACGTCACCTCCGCACCGCCATCGTGACGCTTGTTGGTCCTGTGGTGCCGCTTTTCTTGATGTCATGAATACCTATATATCGAATACTATTAGAACTTAATTATTCAGATAAGAAAATTATTTAATTTTATTGTCATTTTATAAAAAGGTGTCGCTTTCTGTGCTTTTTACTATTTGTTATTATTTGAAGGATTGTATAGCCTGATGTGGCACCATTGGAAAACCCGCCAATCAGCTGGGATTTAAAGGGAAAGATCAACCATCTGCCAACGCTGCAGCGTGGGATACGAGAATGAAGAATGCAATTTTATATACATATACATAAAAATTATATTTAGAATTGAAGACAGACAGACAATACAAACAGAGAGAAGAGGAGGAAATTGGAAAGAGAAAGAGGGGAGGAACGTAGACAAACAAACATGTAGAACTCTCTGCAAGGAGGAAGTGGGAAAGAAAGAAAGAGAAAGGGAAATTAGAGAAACAGAATAAGAGATAGAAACTATGAGCACCTCTCTAAAAAGAAAAGTTGAAAAGAGGAGAGTGATGGAAAGGGGGGGACGATATAGTGAGAGGGAGGACAAACAAATCAAAGAAACATATGGATGAGGAGGAAAGGAGAACAGGAAGAAAAGGGAAAATACAGATAAAGGTGTGAGATAGAGAAAAGAAATATAAAAGAAAACGAGTATAAAAAAAGATGAAAGGGGAATATGGGTGAGAGAGAGGGAAGAGGGAGAGAGATAATTCAGAACTTAAATATTAGTAACTGGCATGTTTACCCAGCTTTTTATTTCTTTGCGAACTAAATAACGTAACATATAATCAAGTTAATGCATTTAATGTGGCTCCATCCACACACATTATTATATCTGGTTATTTACTCATGTGTATTGATATTTCTTATGCCCAGACTTACTTTATAAATAGCCTGAATTCATGCTGTTTATTTCTCATATTTTCAAGTAGTCAGCACATTGGCATTTGGCTGGATAATGTAAAGGACACCAACATGTCCTTGGTTTTACAAAGATGGTTAAACTGTACAGAAAGATTTCCTTACTTAAAGTATATTATTTCCTGCTTTTACTGTTACTATGAAGATTAAATACTTCTTTCTATTATGTTGATCGCAGTTGTATATTTTAATCATCTTGGAAAAATTATAATTAGCTTTCCAAAACAGATATATAGTGTAGAAGACCAGTAATAGTAAAATCTGCATATGTTTTAGAAACAACTTGTAGATTCTTGAATCATCTGAGTTGTCTGCATTTTGATTTGTGTATTGAAGAGTATAACTGCATTCTTTGTTTTTTTCACAGCTTTTAATAATCTTATGATACTTGTTTTATATGTAATAACAGAATGTTTACCCTATTTTCCATCTATGAATACAAGGCAGCTAAGTATAACATAGATTTGGCTGATGTATCAAGGTAAAAAAAACATTCAGTAAATGACAACTGAATTCTAAGATATCATAGTAGTATAGTAACTCTACAGTATCTCCATTCACAATTTTGAATTAGACACTAACACAATTTGGCAATGATGGCAACCAGTGACACTTGTGCTTCCATTCATATGTCTACTCAACCCCTGCCCATCCCCAGGTGTTTCCTTAAAATCATTTATCTTTGTTTCCTGTGCCATTATTGTGCCTTTTCCTAAATATATTTGCTAAGGCAAGACTATAAGAAATTGTGAGAATGGACATGAACAAAAAATGAATACAAGTAAAGTAAGAAATAATGGAGTAATTAAAAACTGCATCTCTTTCTTTTAATATCATTCTATATGATTTCTTTTAAGTATACATGCCTCTTCTTCAGAATCAAATGTATATGTCAACTTTCTTCTATAATTGCATAAGCACTAACAAATTTTATCATCACATGTAGCAAGTCAGTTCAGATAACTACATTAACGTAACCCACTAAAATGAAGGTGAATGCACACATTCTTGTGGTAAATCATAAGGAATGGTAGGCAAGAGTTCAATAGTATTTACTAAGCTCTTGGTCTTTAGGAAGGAATATGAAAATATACATATATATATACTCTGGTCACTTTATTCTGTTCTTACCCTACAAAAGAAACAAAGCTTACACATCACACATTTTTTTAAATGTTCAACATAAATAGCCAATGGTGAATAACACAACAAATGGCTCTAAGCCATTAAACTACAAACGTCTGGAATCCCTAGAAAGTACTTCCTTGAAAAAATACAACTTTAAGGCAGCTGGAATTATGAAAGATGGGCAGCCTTTAAGCACTAATGTGTTTTTATATATTTGTGTGTATATATATGCATGCAAGTTTCTTTCCTATCATCTCTTACAAAGAGACAGATCTTTTCCTTATTTCATCTTTATGCTAACTATTGTCATGGCAGATATATAAGACACTGATAAACTGTGATTCTTAAGAGAAACAACAGTGTACCACCAAACAGCATTAAGTTTACCCTGAAAGCCCATGTGGATCTTAAAGCATTTAGACAACATATTACAACCTTCCAGTTACACTATGATATTCTTAATGGATCACAATATAGGAGCTTGATTTTTTAAGAAACTCTGAATAAGTAATTTCACACCTCTCATTTTTACTTTAACATCTTAAATACTAATAGCTGTCAAAACTTGCTGACCTAAATTCAAGATTGACCCACAAAAAGACAAGCTGAAAATGATAAGTGGCATACAGTAAATTCAACATCCTTTGTTATAAACTTTGAATATGATATTAGCAATATTTGATCACTATTTTTATTTAATCTCAACTTTCCAAAACTCAAAAACCTTGTACAATGCCCCAATAGTGCTTTGGAAATTTACCACACATTCAAATATTCATCACATAGTGTGTATAACGTTGTTCTAATCTCCCATCAGCTGCCACAGCCAGAAACTGAAAAATTGTCACATGTTGCAACTTAGGCAGCTTTCCCTCCAAGATATGTGACCTCTTTTCCAGTCTTTTTTAAGGTCTCAAGCAGCTCGTCTGAGGAGAGAGTGCTGGTCACAATAACCTTCTTGGTTTCAAGGTTAATGTCAACATTGGAGACTTTATCTGAAAAGATAATTGAATCAATGATTATATGGAGTATACTTTATATTATGAATCATCAAATATCCTATTTCAATCTATGTCACTAAAAAATGTATCATTCCTAAAACAAAAATACTATTACAATAGTCATTATTTTGATATCTTGTACTTCATATCTGTTTGCCTTTATGAATTGCAATTCACTAATCAAGTTGGACTTACCACCAAGTTTTCCTAGGACCCTCTTAGCTGCACCTGAGCAACCTTCACAGGTCATCTCAACAGTGAATTCATGTACCTGAAACAGTGTTGATAAAGTTAAAAAAGGAAAATACATATAGTCTACTCTTTGGAACCTTCAAAAGAAGCAATTATTAATACAGTAACCAATTTGAAGACTGTAAATATATACATACATCAACATTACGTATGTAAAACAAAAAAGTAAAAAGGAGTGAGGCTATCACTAGACAAAAATGTTAAGAAGCTTCAATCTCCCAATAATGAATATAAAAAATAGCCAGGTACCTACATCTATAAATACCTCCTATCATAATATCTGGTCCTACTTTCAGTGCTTACACAGTATAAAATTACTTTGTGGCTTAGTGGGAGGTTACCCAAGTAATACCAACAATTTAATAAACTAATTAGCTTTGCCCAAGTTTCTTTGGGTTTACCATCACACTAACCAAAAGGCCTTTTTGTCCTCTAACTCCTACTTTATGATATAATAGTCAAATATAACGAACTGATTATTGCTTACTCTGGAGTGCTGGAAATGTATATTAGTAGTGAATGAATGGGGAAACAGTATTATTCATGTATTAATTTCTCTGTTAGTACAGGACACAAGTATTTCCTTCTTGAAAACTGATATATAAGCAACTCTTTGCCTCATAAAAAATACTAACAATATCAGAACTAATAGGACTTGAACTATTCATCTGAGGTCATTTCCAACTGAAAATGAGTACAGTTACAACTATGACCCTAATTGTTGGAAAGGAATTGCAGCAGGCTTAATGAAGGGTAAAACATAAAATGTGAACCATTTGACTAAAAAACAAAAAAAAAAGTGAAATCAGGTTTTATAAAGAATTCAGAGGGGCTCCCCGGTCCTACTACCTCATGGGAGAAGACAGAAATTGTAAATCAAGAACTAAAACCTCCCTCGATTTACTATCTAATATTCATCTTGAAATACTTGTGAAAGACTAGTGCCTGATTGTCTCTTGCTAAATCATAATGAATACGTTTGATATGCATCTAATATCTTCAGCAGTTATGATATTGCTGCTGTTTACTTTGCACTTTGCATAGTGCTGTTCATACACGCCCCTTCTACCGGGAGTGCCATACCAAGCCACTCACTGGGGATTACAGGCAGTAAGCTGCTTGAGTGAGAAATTCATAGCATATCTTAACCCTGCTCTTTACATTCTTGGCTGTTGCATAGAGGACTTTCTTTTAGGAAATGAGGGGCTGCATCTTTTTAAGGAATGCAGCCAATGCCACTCAAGTGAATAACTGTTTGCTATACAAAACTCAGGCAGGCTCAACTACTCATGATGCGATTGGATGTCAGCAGAGTGTGGGATAGATTTGGATTACATGATTCGACCTCAACTGCCATGGGTCATTTATGTGACCTTCTGTCTTACAGATGAACAGCTGTAAATGATTGCTAGTGGTCTTAGCAAACCAAAGGTCTACTGTATTGATGATAATATCAGTACAGAACTTAAGACAAAAACTGCGAAGATTTGACATAATGAGCTCAATTTGATAAACCGAAGGTTCTTGCTCAAAATAGATTCCGACTACCAACACTAATAGTTTTAGTTCTGACAGATTGCTGTCATATCCAGAATAGCTTCAAGCTGTAGTTGCGTCGTCTGTCTCTTCTGCGCTCTTGGACTGGGTCCTTTGAGATGTCTCTAAGCTTTAGTTACCTAGACAGTATATATCACAAGCAGTCCTTTATTATTAAAATAGTTTCTATAAGGGACACATATTTTGGAGTATATATAGAAGCCAACAATTTAATATGCGAAAATATGTCAGTATCATATACAACATAACTACAGATATGGAATAAAGGATGAAATAAAATGAAACTGATTCATTGAGTTACATATATGAATTCCCTAAACAGATAGAAGAAAATATAGACTTAAGTACGTATATATATATACATATAAATATATATTCATCAGTATATGAATGTGTGTAAAACCTCACCAAAAAACACATTTAAATTCATCACACGTAAACATCTAACTAATGTTATTAACTACAGAAACACAGACATTCGGTTGAGCATGATATATCACTCATATCATTCTTTTGCAAAAAATGTGGATTAAATCTGAATACTAACCATGAGAGACATTGCTATAAATATTGCTGCCGTCTAACAACCTGATAAGCGTTATCTTGACACAGTTTTGTCTTTTGGGTGTCTCTTCACAGTACTTCTGCGTTCGAGCATAAGTTTATATATCTTACCAAATTTCAATCTCGATAAAGAAGCTTATTCTGTAATTGCATTAATATTGTACCATTCGGATAGGTATAGCCTTGTTGAACTTTATTTAGCAATAAGATGGTTTATCGAATTGGATGACTTTTTTTCGTAGCTCAAAAATGTTTGAGACTTGATTTTAAAAACTCCATTTATCTATTCTTAATTTATTAGAACAAAAGGTTCAAAGTTTCGATATTGCTTTATTATCCAAAAAATCCTTATATTTAACTCGAATGCGCTATAAACGACGCATGCGCAGAGAGAGGAAGCTGTGACGTCACATTAGTTGTAAACAAAACGTCAGGGATAAACAGAGGTGAGACCACCTAATTGATCTCTTTGCCATCCGTTTGTCTCAATTTCTGCATTTCGTTGTCTCCCATATGATTATGAATACCGTAGCATCCTTCATGTATTTGGTTGTTAGGGAATTTCGTGCCGGAAGAGTGTCTATATCGAGGGATATATCTGAGACCGCATTCATATCTTTCGACCAATTTTTAGTCGGCACTTTCAGGTTTTTTCGGTTTATTACTGTTCCAAATAGTTATTATTGGTGTTCAAGTAATTAGGAAAACATTAGGGAGGTTTCCTTTAATTGTACTTATATTGGGGAAGTGCCGCTTCTTGAGAATATCGCTTTCCTCACACTGCACTCAAGAAATCCAGCCGCCTATTTAGCATTCCCAATCGAAAGGCTTCTTTTACACTTGCAAAGGTATTATGAAATTTTCTAATGATTGCATTATAATGCCAGGTTAATGGCATTACATAAAACATTCCACATTCTGCAGTGGTAACTTGTGGATTGCAAAACACTGTGATTGCATTAGAGTCTATTGCTTGCTGAATTATCACAATAGATCCTTGATGAATAGCCGTCACACACAGATATTTTAAGACAGGCTTCGAGTTTCATGCAAAGAAGTATCTCTAAGAATTTCTATGACTGGCTATGAATTGTGTTAGCTTTTTGTGCCCCTAATAGCCTGTCTATCCTGCTGCAACAGAGTTCAGTCAGATTCACAACCATCAAATTGATTGTTTCACAGAATCAAAAGTTGATGGACAAGAAACATTCTTTGGGATGGTAACCTATGTGTTATGAATTTTAAATGATATCTGAAGTGAAATGTCTCTGGTAACTTTTGTTTGTGACAGTGAGTTATTAGTAACATGTTAAGAATGTCAGTTTAGTTCTATGGTTTAGATGGTTTCTTATATTTGACATTTTGATTTTTTTTGGTAGTTCTATACTTGAAAAAACTTTGTGAATAAAAATAAATTTGAAGTTAGCATGGTAAATCTGGAGAAAAAAACTCAATGAAAAAAATGTAGACACTGTGTCTAGCATGAAATAACAGCTAACTTAAGATCACAGAGTTCAGTAAAGTTGATAGAAACAGCTACATCAACTTTCAGATATTTATTTTATTTTATACATACTAGACCTATGAGGCCTTTTATGCTATTCATTTATTTTATTTTATACATACTAGACTTATGAGGCCTTCTATGCTATTCAATTGAAACACATTCCAACTAGTTATAAATTCTCTAAAGCCTTGACTCAAATCTGATAGAGTAGTTGAGCATTAAGTAGAAGAAAGCTTGCAGATATAATAATGAATGAATAATGAATAACTATTTGTATCAGCCTTGAAATTACACTTTAGGGAGAATACAGTGTTGAGGGGTAGTTATGTGTTATTTTCTCTATGTTTTCATTAAA